ATGGGATTTGAACACCCAACCTACCACTTGGGGAGTTGACAACCTGACCACTTCACTAGGTCGCCACACCCCTGTTAATTTAATAACTATAATTAGTTATTATTAATAAATCTATTTTTTATTTGATCTTGCATTAAATAGAACTGAAGATGGAACTAATTTATTTGTAATGAATAATTCAAATTTTATTAATTGTATAAGTTATCTGATTATTAGTTCATATTATTTATGATTATGTTATATATAGTGGTACTTTGTGCCACATATCTTATTTTATTAAAGTTGAAAATTTATATATATATATATAAACACCTATCATGTTAATATGTATAAATAACTAAACTACTTAGATAACCTTCACTCTGTTCTTGGTTATTGTAAAAGTAAAATTTACTTCAATAAAAACAACTTTGAAAAGCCAATTAAAGTATTTCATATTGATAATATCTAGGTAATGTTCATATAGAATTTACTAAAATTCTAATCTAATCACTATACCTAATTATTTAGAAATAAAATAAAAAAATAGCTAAATCTATATTTCAAACTTGAGTCAAATTATTTTTTAATTCTTTTATTGTCATATTCATACTACTAGTAACTCCACTTACATTTGTCTCTAGAAGCTTTTTTTAATCTAAATTCTATAGTTATATTTCTTGAATCTTTAAGCACTTTGACTATAAATTATAAAAATAAGACTTTATTCTTACAGACTAACTCTATTATATATTCAACTCTATTATACACAATTCTTAAATACTGTATTGATAAATTGATTATTGAATAGAAGTTAGAATATTAATACAAATATAAGAATTATTATATTACTAAACAAATAATCTATATATAAATACTAACAATATCATATTTTTTTATCTGTTATAAGGGTCAGGTTTGTTTACACAAATTGCATAAATTGCATTCTTAATATTTTTATAAAATAATAACCTAATTGCATTAAAAACACTCTAACTAATCTGGCTTTAATATTTCTCCTATTATTGTGATATCATATAATTAGTATGTACTATATATTTGAAGTTAAAAAAAAAATAATATCTTAGGAATTTAAGTTTATAATTTATTATACTTGATTTCTGAAAAAATTTTTAATAAATTCTAGTATTTCATTTTCTCCTAGCAATATTTATCATTATTAGTTATATGTTAGATTAAATATATACAATATAATGTAATATCAGAATATTTTTTAAATATTAAGTATATAATTATGCATAAGGTTGATATAATTAAATAGTAGTAACTGAAAAATTAGATATAAAAAGAAAAAGAAAATAATAGATTATTTTCTTTTGTAAACTTAACATTTATTTTGATTATATTTATGCTTCTTTAAATAAAAATAAATTATTGTTTTAAGAAGACAAGTTTTTTATATTGCTTATCATTATTCAAACTCAAAATAATAAGATTATGCATCATGCATTAAATTTTAAAAAGCACTAATTAACTTATAAATAGCTGTTCATATTGTTAGTATATTTATTTATTTTTTTAATTTATAATTAACAACTGTAATGATACAATCATAAATTATATATACAAAGAGTTATTTTCAATGTCTATAAAAGCTGTTTCAAAACAAAATTCATATACATTCAAAAAATATACTGCATCTACAAGCAAAAAAGCACTTATGTTCTTAGATAAAAATAATACATCTTCAATCAAGAATAACAGAACTCATAATAATCAAAACAAAATTAATAAGAGTTGTGAATTTGAAAACTTTGATCATGATGACTTTGTCAATTTTAATAAAGTACTTATGAATAGCAATACTAAAGACTCTCAAATGCAATAATCAAATTCTTAGTCTTTGAACTCACAATCTTGATCTCAATCAAGATATTCTTTGTCAAAACATTCTTGTTCTCATTTATGATATTCTTCTTTACAAAGTTCTTATTCTTATTCACTATATTCTTTTTTACAATATTCTTATTCTCATTTATAATATTCTTTTTCACAACATTCTTATTCACTTCAATGTTTCTATTCATGATTACAACACTCTTTTTTAAAACATTCTTATTCATGACACTTTTCTTTACAACATTCCCATTCATCAAGTTCTTATTTATAATCACAAATTTAGTCTAATAGCTGCAAAATGCTCTTATTTGAATCAGGTTATAAAGTAGCAGCATATGTTGCTAAACAACTAGAACTTTTAAAAATTGTAAATCAAATAACTTATTATGATGGTTTTAAAATGTCAGACAATAAAGAAAAAACTATAATACTTACTTAACAAGTAAGATGTTTTTTTTGTATAATTATTATAAGACAGAGTAAAACCTAAGTTGATTTTTGTGAATATAAAAAGAGTAAAATTCATGTTTTTTAAGCTACTTTTTTGATGCAGGTCTACAATTAATTAGAGTTAGATAGTAGTATGCATTAATAATATAGTAACTTCTAATGCAGGTTTTATGCTGTTGTGCTATCATATTATTATTATCATTGATTTTTTTATAACATTTATAATTTTTAAAAATCAATGAAATTCTAAACATTTTTAAAATACATGTTCTTTAGGACATGACATTTTACAAAAGAAATAATTCTTAAATATATTAAATTATGCTTTCTGTTCAAAAAATTATCTTCTAAAGACATATCTATTTTAAAAAGTGCTGCAAATGCTGCATATCGATTCTATAGAGAAACACTTTGAAGCAGCCTTAAGAAAATTGCTATGTATTTTATTAATGATTTTAAGTAAGTAAAAATATATTTATCTTATAGTACTCTATAAAGTATCTTTAAAGTACTACATGCTCTTATTTTCTACTATGATACAAACCAAAAAAAAATTTTTTGTATATAAATTGCAAGATTAAATGCAACATAAAATTTGTTAATATTTTTTATTATTTTTCAAAAAATCACCAATATCTCAAAATTTTGTCTAAAAAACTGCCTCTTGTGTTTTAACCAAAAAAAAATTCCTTGTAAGCTTTTAGTATAATATCTATTCTTTCTAACTCTAAAGTTAAAGCAATTTATAGCAAATAGAATTTTTACCATTTCATGTGATTTGTATTATAGTAGAAAATAAGTAAATTTAAATAGCATATAAGTATTATATTGGTTTCATAGTTATACCCAGATATTATATCATATATTATTACTGTATTAAAATAGTATTTTTATCTATATACTATTATACCAGTATCCTATAAGTTTTTTGATATATATCCAAGATACTTTATAAAGTGCTATACAATAGTTTATTATAAAGCTATTATAATTGACTAAAAAAAAAATTTTAATTTACAGAATTACATGTTTCTCCCAAATTGAACAATCTGATATTCAAGATTATCTTCAGGAAGAGGTATAAAAATTATTCTTAACTAGTTCTATGAGACAATCAATAAAAAAAATGCCATTTATAACAGAATTTAAGGAGACATAACAAATATTTATGTCAGACTGTTTTTTAAAAATGGTTAAAGAAACATTAGACAAAGAAAAAAAGCTTGTTAGAATTATAGACTTAAAGTATCTTAGTTTGAACTATGATATATATAATGTAGGAGGCATATTGAACCTTAATGATACTAATTTTAAGGTGCTTTTAAAAAAAAAATTGAATAATAAAGAAAAAGAGAATAGGAATCAGACATAATGTTTAAAGCTAAATATTTATTTAAATTTTATACATGCTATAAATAAAATTAAAAAAATTCTGCTATGTATTGCAAATTTATATGAAACTAAGCATATGCTTAATTTTATTAATTAGCCATCCTAGTAACAATAAGACCTTCAAATTTTTAGTTAATATTTAATAGTTAGTAATAATTAACAATTTGATTATAGGGGTGTGGCGACCTAGTGAAGTGGATAGGTTGTCAACTCTCAAGTGGCAGGTCTAGAGTTCAAATCCCAGTGACAGC